CTGGCGAGCGCACGCGCCCTATAGTGAAAAAAAACCCTCTCAAAAAAAAAAAATTTAATTGCCAATGTAATGGTATCATAAGGTGGGCCTTTAAGAGGTGATTGGGCCATGAGGGCTCTGCACTCACTGTGAATTAATGCCATTATTGCAGAGTGGGCTAGTTATGACAGGAGACGGCTACTGATCAAAGTTCTGCCCAATTTCCTCTTCGTTTCCCACATTCATTTGCCATGGGATGCCCTGCACCACGAGAGGACCTTTACCAGATGCTGGCATCATGCTCCTAGATCTCCCCACCTCCAAAACCACGAGCTGAATAAAATGACCCAGTCTAGGGTATTCTGTTTTAGCAGCAGAAAATGAACCAAGACAGTATTCAGACTGAGAAGATCTGAAGTCAGGCTCAGGAATGTGCATGTCTAACAATCATTCCAAGGAAATAACGAAGCAAGCAGTCAAGATCACAGCACGGGAAACACTAAGGCAGTGGTCAAACACAGGGACTATGGAGCCTGGCCTTTTCAATAGCTGGCCATGTGACCCAGGACAAGCCATTTAACCTGTGAGTCAGTTCTCTCAACTCTTACAGGGTTGTGACATGAATTAAATAAATAAGGGACATGAATCATAGTACGTGGCACATATTAAATACACAAAAAAGTAGCTAGTACGTTTTTGTTATTGATAGAATATTAATAATTGATAAGCCAAGAATTAAAATAACTATTTGATGCAGATTCTCATTTAGTCCATTTTGCATCTTTAAAATCATGTAACATACTGAAACTAGAGATTGACCTGTAAGAGATAACCAAAACGGAAACAATTTTAGCAACTTCGTTATGCTCAAATATTATTCTGAACAGTAACCTGCAAAGAAATAATGCCCAAGAGAATTTTTTTGTCCTCAGGAACCTATCAAACACCAGATTTCAGTCTAAACATAGTAGCGGCTGACAGATGTGAATGTAAAAGGCATACTATAGGACTGAAGAACATATTTTTTTATATATATAAAAATTTATTTATATCATATATAAAGCAAATAAAATGTATTGGGTTGTTGGAAAAGTCATAGCGTATTTTCTTCTATGTTTTTCTATGCAAAAATGCATCATGCCTTCTCCAACAAACAACTATATATACACATGTATGTGTGTGTGTGTGTGTGTGTGTGTTGTGTGTATACTTTTTTTTTAAGCTTTTGCCATGGGGCATGTGTACTTGCCAGAGAGAGACAGAGAGAGGAAAAGTGAGAAATCACCTCCTAGGAGGGAATGGCCACACAATCCCTTCTCCATTCTTCTCTAGGGATTCTGGGCATGCATGCACATGTGTCTGGCATGCTTTTCAAACCACTGGGTTTGGGACTTGAACCATGTGTGAGTCCAGTACTTTAACCACCACACCACCTGCTGGCCCCAAAGAACATATATCTTATTTATTATTTATTTATCCTTTTGAGAGATTTTTGCTATAGGATGCATGTGCTCACCAGAGGGACAGAGACAGACAGACCCAAAGAAAGAAATCACCCCCCAGAGAGGATGGTCACACTGCAGTCCCTTCTTCATTCTCCTCTCAGGGGGCACACATGCACACTCTCCTCACATGAGTTTTAAGTCTCCAGGTCTGGGACTTGAACTGCAGCCAGCTATGTGTGAGTCCGGTTATGTAACCATCACACTATCTGCTAGTCCCAAGAACCTATTTTTTTAAAGAACAAATCAATCCTTTTGAAAATAACTCCTCACATGAGTTTTAAGTCTCCAGGTCTGGGACTTGAACTGCGGCCAGCTATGTGTGAGTCCAGTTATGTAACTATCACACTATCTGCTAGTCCCAAGAACCTATTTTTTTAAAAGAACAAATCAATCCTTTTGAAAATAAATATGACAACCAAGTATAAGTGGGATAAACAGAATTTAGCTTAATACCTTCCTTAAAGGAACATTTGGCAAACTATCTGCCATACAGTAAGCATTCAACAAATGTTAGCTCCTATTATTATTATTATCCGATCAAATCACACAATTTATATAAAATTTCTTTGTAAACTATAAGCCATTTTTTTCTCTTTTTCATCTCTCCTTTCAATCTAAGTTGGTTTGTAGGGTCTAACACGTGCTCCTCCATATCTTGTATGATAGGTGTAGCTTCTGTCTCTATGCAGTCCCAGTTGTCCAGCTGTGCCAGAGGGCAAGGTCAGTATGACTCTCCTTATTAAGTCCACTTGGCTACAGATCTAAAACCATGTTCTCAGTGGCAAAGTTGATGCTCTGATCTCCACTTACATTTTGTCTCATTTTTCAATTGGTTTCACAGCTAGGAAACAACAATGAAGACATTATTTACTTGTTGCTTAAAGTTACAAGCAAGGCTAAGGGGTAAAAATTAAAAATTAAACAGAGAAGAGCTCCACTATTTTCCTCCGACTTCATTATTTTTTTAAAAGAATTATTTATTTATCACTATTATTATTTTTTAAAATTTGGTACAGGGCATGTGCACTCACCAGCAAAAGACTGAGAGAGAATGGAAGCCAGAAAGCAAGCCGCCAGGTCTGGAACTTGAACCATGGTCAGCCAAGTGGGAGTCCAGCACTTTAACCACCACACCACCTTCCAGTCCCTCTCATTTCCCTTTTTTTGTTTCTAAAGAAAGATTTTTCTGCTATAGAGCATGCTCATTCACCAGAGAGACAGAGAAACAGAAAGTGAGAAATTATCCCCCAGGTGAGACGGCCATGCCGCAATCCCTTCTCTTCCATTCTCTTCTCGGGATCTTGGTCATGCATACACACACACCCACATGAGTTTTAAGTTGCTGGGTCCAGGACTTGAACCATGGTCAACTATGTGGGAGTCCAGCAACATAACCATTACACTATCTGGACTCCCACATGGCCAACCAAAGTTCGCATCCCGGCCCTGGTGGCTTGCTTTCTGCTCTTCACTTGCTTTCTCACTTTATCGCTCTCACTCACTCACTCTGTCCCTCTCTGGTCAAACTGAAATAGATGAATAAATAAATAGAGTTAAATAGAATGATTCTTTTAAAAAAAAAAAATCTGATTTTTATCTAAAATTCCATCTCTCTTTTGCATGGATCACTTTTTCTTTATGCCAGAGGGCAGGCAACTGTGTACATGAGAGCATGGGAGAGAAAGCACCCCAAAAAGCGTGCTACTATCCTTTGTTCTCCAATACTCCATCCCATCAAGGTCCCGGACACATGCACACATCAAGTATGTAAACACCGGGAACTCAGACCTAACCATTGGTGGGCCATGTGGGATCTCACCTCTTCCGCAGATTGGGTTAAATCATGCTCTTTGTATCTTCATTAGCAATTCAAGCCAAGTGTGATTATATGAACAAATCAATGAGTAAACAAAAGCCTCTTATTCTTCATTTGTAAAATGAGGATACTGGGTCGGAGGAGGCCCAATATCTTCAGTAGCTCCGAAGTGGGAACGGGAGGCGTGACGGTTTACATTTCTAACGGACAAGTACTGGACAGCTGGAGTCAGTTCCCATAGAGGTTATCTTTAATAACAGATCTCTTTTGGAAAATAGCCAGGTTTGTAGTTTTGTTTTTTAAAACTCAGCTTCAGCATGGTGTAAAAAAGAGAAGAGGCTATGGAAACTCATCTGATTCCAGATAAAATGACGGGAGAGGGTCACCTGGAAACCCTCTCCAAAGAATGGGTCAAATAAATCATCGGCCTGGCCCCAGTCCTCCTCCAATGGCCAGAGGATGAGGAAGGTAAACGTCTGCTCTAAGCAGCAGACAACTGGACGTGCACGATCATAAGCAGGAGGAAGCCATCAGGAAGGAGAGGTCTGACCACGCCAGACAAGTTAGATGAGTGTGCCCATCCAGACAAGGACTGCTCTGTGTCCTCACGGACGAACGCATCATGCTGGTACTTCCCTCTGCAGGGCTCTGGCCTGATTGATACATGTCCTATAAATGCACCTGTTTGTCTCGTTATCTTTTTTGTATGGTTGATTAAAGTATTGATAGAGTTTTAGTAAGTAAATATTTTTTGGTTGGAAAAAAAGGATATTGCCCTCTATTGCTCAGAGTACATTTTTTGATTAAGAATTATTTAATTTTTAGAACCAGCAGATGGCAAAATGGTTATGTCACTGGACACCTACACAGTCGACCGCAGTTTAAGTCCCAGACAACGTAGCTTGAAACTCATGTCAGGTGCACATGCTTGCAGGCCCAAAATCCCAAAAGAAGAATGGAGGAGAAGGGACTGCGGTGTTGCCATCCCCCCTAGGGGGGGATTTCTTACTTTCTCTCTGTCTTTCTCTGTCTTTTCAGTGAGCACACGTACCATACAGCAAAAATATCTCTTTTGGAAAAAAAAGAATTATTATTTATTATTATTATTTTTTTTTTTTTTTAATTTTTTATAGGGCACTTGTGCTCACCAGAGACAAAATAGAGGGAAAGTGAGAAAGCAACCTCCAAGTCCAGAACTTGAATCACTGTCAGCCATGTGGGAGTCCAGTGCCTTAACCTCCATGCCATCTGTGGGCCCTCTGCTCAGAGTTTTTGAAGGGATTGAATCTGGTAATAGAATGAAAAAGTTTATCATACATTTTAGTTTGGTTCCATGTCTTATGGTCTGCAGCTACTATCCTTTGCCACTAGGTGGCAATGCTGCATCAGTAGGTAAAAAGTCCCAACTGCACCAAGGAAGTCTGGATTTTATTTAAGGGCTAAAAAGGAAATAAGTGGAAAAGTAAATTAGAGGTGTTACCCTGGCATTTTCTGAACTGATAGATAAAACTTTGAACATTCAAAAAGAGAGGCTATGATAACTGTACATTCTGTATAAAATGGAAGTACTAATAACCTCACTTTTTACTTTGAATCTTAATTCATTTTCACAAGAATGTGAGTAATCCTATGAAAAGGGCAATGTACAAGGTAAGACATAAGTTGATGCCTAATAAGAATATTCAAACATTTACCTCTGACCCCAAGCTGAGGGAAACAATCTCATCCTCAAAAGCAGAATGTGTGTCAATATGAGGCGGAATTCCTGAGATAGAAAACAGGTAACATGTGACTTCATTTCCTTGCAGTAGATTTAAGACAACTTTAAATATAGCTTCCTGCTTTGTGAAGAAAACATTGTTTGGTAATCAGAAAAGTATTAATCATTTTAGTTAAAGGGAAACACCAAAGGTGAATGGGATTAAAATATATTAAAATAAATCTAAACCCAAAATATATTTTTTGAAGAATTATTTTATTTAACTTCATTTATTTATTTATTTATTTATTTAATTTGACCAGAGAGCGACAGAGCAAGAGAGAGAGAGAGTGAGAAAGTGAGAAAGCAAGTTGCAAGGTCCAGGACTCCAACCGTGGTCAGCCATTTGGGAGTCCAGTGCCCTTAACCACCATGTCACCTGCTGGCACCAAAACCTAAAAGTTAAAATGCCATTAAACTTGATTCTAAAGTCAAGGTTCAAGAGCCATTGCTTAACTAGGACAATTATCAAAGCCTAACCCAAGAGGAAGAGGTGCAAGATAATCACAGAAGTCATTTTTTATCCCCTTGAACACTCTATTACCAACTACTTATAGAAGGAATGCAATAACCAGGAGAGGGTTATGTAACCTACTTAGTTCTGCAATATATAACTAGAATTTTAAATGAAAAAAATACTCACCTTGCCCAGGCTCATACTGATTTATGGTCAACTGGTCGGGTTTATATTTAATGTAACCTTCCTTCAACCATTTCTCCAAAATGCTATCACAAATGTCAGGAAGACCTAAAGTCAATAATCACACAAAGGCAAAACATATTAAGTTATTTACTTTGCTGGGGCCAGCAGGTGCTATAGTGGTTATGTCACTGGACTCCCACACGGCCAACTGTGGTTCAAGTCCCAGAACCTCCTGGCTTGAAAATCACACCAGACACATGTGTGAGCATGCCCACAACCCCGAGAAAACAATAGAGGAGAAGGGATTATGGCATGGCCATCCCCCATTGGGGGGGTGATTTCACACTTTTTATCTCTCTCTATCTCTCTGGCAAATGCACATGCACTATAGCAAAAAATATCTCTCTCCAAAGGAAAAAAAAGTTATATATCACATGTGGTAAGAGTAGGGAAAAGGGAAAGTACGTGAAGTGAGAATATGTTGGTATACCTGTTGAGAAGGGGACTGTATTTATTAGCATGTCTATAAATGAACATAACCTTTGACACAATTCTACTTCTTAATGGTCTTCCTTGAGAACACTTTGCATAGCGCATAAAAAGGTATAAACTACAGCACTGTTTGTAAAAGATATGAACTGCAGGGGCCGGCAGGCAGCATAGAGGTTGGAGCACTGGACTCCCACATGGCTGATCACAGTTTGAGTCCCAGACTTGTCTGTTTGCTTTCTCACTTTGCCTGCCTCTCTCTCTCTCCCTCCCTCCCTCTCGCTTACTCCTTCTCTCCCTCTCTCTCTCTCTCATGAGTGTATGTGCCCTATAGCATATTTTTAAATAATAATAAACAATTAAATAAATAATTCTTTAAAAAAAAGATATAAGCTGCTGTACTACCTATAAAAACAAGGCACAAGAAATAGTCTAAATATTTATCAATAGAGAATTAATAGAGTATATGGGACAGTCAGTAAAATGAAATACTAAATAGGTTGAGTATCTCTAAACCAAAAATCCAAAATCTCAAATGCTTCAAAATCAGAAACTTTTGGAGCATCAACATATCACAAGCAGAAAATCCCACACCTGATCTTATGTGACATGTCACAATCAAAACAATGCAATACAGGGACCAGCAGTTAGCGTAATGGCTATGTCGCTGGACTCCCCATGTAGTCGACCATGGTTCGAGTCTCAGGCCCAGTGGCTTAAACTCACACCGGATGCATGTGCACGTGTGCCCAAGATCCTGAGAGGAGAATGGAGGAGAAGGGATTGTGGCATGGCCATACCCCCTGGGGGGTAATTTCTCACCTTCTGTCTCTCTGTCTCTCTCTGTCTTTCTGGAGAGCGCACACACCCTATAGCAAAAACCTTTAAAAAAATGCAATACAAAAATGATGTATAAAATTATCTTCAGTCTCTGTATATAAGATGTATATGAAATATAAATGAACTTTGTGGTGGATCCCACCCCTAAGATAGCTCACTATGTGTATGTAAATATTCCAAAAACCAAATAAGTAAATAATCTGAAACATCCTGGTCCCAAGCATTTTGGGTAAGGGACATTCAGCCCGTATAAAATCTCAGAGACATATCATGAAAGGAAAAGAACAGCTGGAAAGATACATATATGAATATATAACTTAAACCATAAAATATACTACTATATGTGGTAAACTAGGTATTTTCATAGATATATACTTTTTGGTTTTGTTTTAACTTATTCATTACTTTTATATATGTGTGTGTGTGTGTATGTATATATACAGGGCACGTGTTTTCACCAGAGAGAGACAGACAGAGGGAAAGTGAGAAAGCAAGCTCGTAGGTCCAGGACTTGAACCATGGTCAGTCATGTGGGAGTGTCCAGCACCTCAACAACCATGCCACCTGCTGGCCCCTGATATACTTTTTGATGTAAACTCAATTTTTAAAAGGTTAGAATATTACACTATATTTATAATTGCATGTACTTCTTTTTTTTATTTTTAAAAGTATTTATTTTATTTATTATTATTCTATTTTTTTAATGTTTGCTGTAGGACATGTATGCTTACTACAGAGAAAAGAGAGAGAGGGAAAGTGAGAAGTAAGCCGGGACTCGAACCACTGTTGGCCGTGTGGAAGTCCAGCACCTTAGCTACCATGCCACCTGCTAACCCCAAGAATTATTTATTTTATTTTATTCATTATTAATATTTAACTTGCTATAGGGCAAGTGTGCTCACCTAAGGCAAAGAGAAATAGAGATAAAGTGAGAAAGTAAGTCACCAGGTTCAGGATGCAAACTGCAGTCAGCCATGTGGGAGCCTAGCTCCCCAACCACCATGCCTAACTATATGTACTTCTAAAAAGTATGGGATTAAAGATATGTCAAAAGAACTTCAGCTTTATCTTTATGTTTGAATATTTTTGCAACAAAACTATACTATATATCTAACTAAAACATTTTAAATTAAATTGTCTTACAAGTTCAACTACAAATAAGAAATGAAACATTCACCCTCAACTATGATATATATTTTTTTTTTTGGAGAGGTTTTTTTGCTATAGGGCACATGTGCTCATCAGAAAGAGAGACAGAAAGCAAGAAATCACTCTCCAGGGGGATGGCCACACCACAATCCCTTCTCCTCCATTTTCCTATTGGGATCTTGGTCATGCATACACACATGCCCTGCATGAGTATAAGCCACCGGGTCTAGGACTCAAACCGTGGTTGACTATATGGGAGTCCAGAGATATAGCCATTAGGCCATCTTCCAGTCCCAGTTTTAATATATTAAATCTTTTTTTTCAAAATCAGCATTTATTGAGTTACTTACCCCCAGGTAATGGCTTATCTCTATCTACATTGTTGTTCTCGTAGCAGAATTCATAACCAAAATGCTTTACTCTTCTGTGTTTTAAGGATTTCTGAACTGTGTGAAGAGAAGAAAATAAACCACCTGGGAGAAAAAGAATTGCCATTCTTCATATATTTCAAAGTCAACATTATAATTAAAGGTTAGTAACTTCTACAATAACATATATGGTAATATCCTTGACTGAGACAATATACAGTGTATTCTGGATGGAAAGTCTCATTTTGTATATTGTAATGATGTACAGTAAAGGAATGGAAATAAATTTAAAATAAAAAAAACAAAGATTAGTAACTCTAAGTCCCAGAACTGGTAGTTTGCTTTCTTACTTTCTCTCTGGTGAGTATGCAGGCCCTATAGCGAATTTTTAAATAATAATAATAAATAACATTAAGTATTCTTTAAGAATTATTATTAAAGAATATATTCAAAAATACCTATTCAATGACTACAGTAAGTTACACAGCCCCAGCTAGGTGCTACTTCATAGAATGTTCATTCTACTCACAGAGGTTTATGCCTAAAGTCAGACGTGTGTTCATAGATATGTTTACATCAGCTGCACTTGCTATTGAAAGAATTTAGATTAATTAAGATCTTCTGTAATCAATAAAATGTGGGGGATAAAAGGCATGGAAAGCAACTGTAGATACCAGAGGCAGTGTGGGAGGAGGGTGGGAAATGTCAGAGGGTGAGAGGTAGAGAATCGAGGAAGGAAAAAAAAAGAAGCAAAATATGTAAGAAACAAGAAATGGAAAATTATATGCAGTGTATTCTGGATGGAAAATCTCATTTTGTATACTGTAATGATGTACAGTAAATGAATGTAAATAAATTTTAAAATAAAATAAAAATAAAAACAATCAGGAAATAATTCCTCTATTCTCCTCTCGGGATCTTGGGCACACACTCACACACACCTGGCATGAGTTTAAGCTGTCAGGTCCAGGACTTGAACCGTGGTCAACTACGTGGGAGTCCAGCGACATAACCATTACGCTAACTGCTGGTCCCTAATTTTTTTTTTTTTTAATTTGACCGGAGAGCGAGAGGGAAATGAGAAACCAAGCAGCTGGGTATGGGACTCAAATCACAGTTGGCCATGTGGGAGTCCAGTGCCCTAACCACTGCTCAACCTGCCTGTCCCATAGAAATCATAATTTTAAAGAAAAAAAAAAGTGTGTGTGTGTGTATGTGTGTGTGTTTTTGGTGTTTTGTTTTGTTTTGTCTTAGGGCACATGTGCTCACCAGAGAGAGAGAAATCACCCCCCTCTAGGGGAATGGTTATGCCATTCCTTCACTTTCCTCCTGGGATCATGGGCACGCACACCCAGGTGCCTGGTGTGAGTTTTGAGACCCAGGTCCGGAACTTGAAATATGATCAGCCAGCCAAAAATAATCTTAATAAACCAAAGAAGGAGGTGGAAAGAAGAAGTAACAAGGTATTTTGCAGAAACATTTAAAAATCAGATTTTAAAGTTATACTTACAATTTTCATTATCTGTATCTTCTGTCCAATTAATACTTTCCAAAAGCCTTTTCTCATCATCAAAAGAAATCATTTCTTCTATTACAGTGAGGCCTGGAGGTAAGACTGGAGGATCCAACCTCTTCCATTGTGCTGTGGAAAACCAAATGAAAACAGTAGCATGTAAAACTTAAAGTTTTATACAGATGGTTCTACCCAATAGTCATTTGCAGTACATAAAATTCCCAATCCTCATTTACAGAAATAAGAATGTTGACAGGCATATAATATATTAAAAGGACAAAAAACAAAGACCAACATCAAAATTTTGCTGCAATTACCATGAGCAAATAGAACATATTTACTTAAATATTGTTTGAACGTGATTAATTTATTTTTAAAATCTCACTAAGAAACAAAGTTTTTCATAATATCTATGGTATGCCCCTCTATGAAAAAAAGTACTATTTTATTTAAATATTGAATACAAAAATTTAAATGCTATTTTTGCTCTTAGGTACTTAATACTACGGTGCACTAACAGAAAATATAAAATGCAAAACTATCTAAAGATATAAAAAAGAAAATCTATAAAGAATGATTCAGCATATTTTTAAACAATTTGTTTTTCAAAGTTTTAAATAATACAACTCTAGAAGGAAAAGAAAGAACACTACTGCCAGGTAAAGGGAACTGTCTATTCATATTTGCTGTTAGGGATCTATCTGATCATTCTTACATGACTTTTGAAGCTTTCTGCTAGGCAGTTTTCATCTTTGAATTATTTAATATAAAAATTCACAAAACTTATATTCAGTAGTAGTACATGGATATATAAGTAGTATACTGATATGTGATAAGCACATATCAAGTACCTATTATGTGCCAGATGTTATATTTATTGAAATCATATGAGAAAAACTTGGCAAATAATTCTTTAAGGCAGGAAGGTAATTTATTAGCACATGTAATTTATGTTCATTTCTAAATAACTTTTCTTCAAAATTAAAAATACCTCTTGTATTTGTTATTCAGTGTCTTTATTTTAACAGATATCAAAACACATACCAAAACAACTGAGACACAGTTCTAGCCTGAAATAAAAATTGCTACTAAGCCAGCAGATGACACAGTGATAAGTGGCCAGACTCCCTCATGGCCAAATGCAGTTCGAGTCCCAGACTCCACGGTTTGAAACTCACATCAGGCAAATGTGTATATGCGTGCCCAAGATCCAGGTTGAATGGAAGAGAAGGGATTGTGGCGCGGCCAACCCTCTGGGGGGTGATTTCTCACTTTCTCTTTTGCTGTCTCTGTCTCTGGTTCACTCTCTCTGGCGGGTGTGCACACTCTAAGGCAGAACTTTTACCAAAAAAAAAAAAAAATTGTTTCAAGAGGGGCCCGCAGATGGCATAGCAGTACACTGCTGGACTCCCATATGGCTGACACTGGTTCAAGTCCTGGACTCAGTGGCTTCAAATGCACACTGGGTACATATGCGTGTGTGCCAAGATCCCAGAAGGTGAATGGATAAGCGACTATGGCATGGCCAGTTCCCCAGGTAATCATTTCTCACTTTCCCTCTCACTGTCTCAGTCTCGGTCTCTCCCCAGCAAGAGCACCTGTCCTAAGTCAAATACCTCTACTAAAAAAAAAAAAAAAAATGCTTACAGAGTTAGTCTTAGATATACATCTGTATCTAAGGAAGGATTTCAAATAAAGAACACTCCAGGGGCCAACAGATGGTGTGGTGGTTAAGGCACTGGACTTCCACAAGGCTTAGTGCAGTGTGTCTCCCGGATCTAGCAGCTTGCTTTCACCTTTCACTCTCTGTCTCTGTCTCTCTCTGGTGAGCACATGAGCCTTATAGAAAAAAAAAGAAAGTAATAAATACAATGAACTAATTCTTGAAACACATTTAAAAAAACTCTAAAATTCATGTTGTGCAGTTTCTTAAAGTGTTCAACAAAGTGAATGGGGGAAAACCCAAGGACAGTATTTTCTGATTAAAATTCACTCCTTAACTACTCAGTTTCTAAAAATGACCAGGAACATGTAAAATATAAGCATACTCTAGTTTTGTTTTTTTTTTTTTTAATCTGTAAAGCTTAAGTCAGATTTAAAAGTAAATATATATGGGCAATGAGAGGTATAACTTCTAAAATATGTCTTAAAAGTCTTTAAAAGCTTTTCTTTGAGTCTTGTTTTACAAAAACATAAATATGATCAGATTACACCCACCTACCTAGCCCTACAATAACTAAACGGAGTTCTTTTACTGCTAAAATAGACGGCAAATGGTTACAAAATTAGATGTCTAAATTAAAGTTCGCCTTAATACATCTCATTTCCATAGAGCATAAGTTAAAAGAAGTAGTAATCCCTGGGACTAGCAGGTGGCATGGTGGTTAAGAGTGCTGGATGCCCACATGGATGACCTCGGTTTGATTACCGAACCTGGCGACTTGCTTCTCTCTCCTGCCCCCTCACTCTGTCTTTCTCTAGTCCAATTAAAATAAATAAATAAATAAATAAAGTTAAATAAAATAATTCTTTAAAAAAAAAGTAATAATTCCTGTTACCATTCTGTAAATCAATCTATAAAGCTATTACTTTAATTGTTCAGTTACTCGATCCCACTGCTCAGTGGCTATCATACTGGACAGCATGGATATGAACATTTCCATCATCACAGAAAGGGACAGCACTATGAAGCTTTCTGGATCCTGGGTGGCACAGGTATTCCACCATACATGTGAAGACGGGCACATAATCATTTGGGTCACTATTTGGTTTTAAACGATTAACTCAAACCTTCTGCATATATGCTGTGAAATAAATTGGTAATCTAAATCTTCATCATTAAACTCGGAACACACAATTATAGGACAGTTCCAAAATAAGTATTATACACAATAAATCTGTTTTTGGTTATTGGGACCAGCTCCTCAAAGGCAGGCTACGTCGTATTTATCTCTGTAACTTCAACTACTAGTCCCATGCTGGCACAAACTAGGTTCCTAAAAGATGTTTATTAAAGTAAAAGGGCCTAGTCACCGGATGTCCTTACTTTATTTCAAATAACTAAACCCTGTAATCTATGTCTATGAAATGAAAATGCACACAGAACCAAGAACCAGTTATAAAAAGGTAACAAAATGATAATACCTTTTTCCACAAAACTCAAATACAGAATAATCTTTTGTCCTAAATCATCCACTATTTCTTTTCCGTTGAGGGTACTGTAGGCTTCCCTGGATTCGTCTGCAGTTTTGTACCTTACAAATGAGTAGGGTTTGTTAGGCGGCATTAAGAGAGCATCCACCTGTCCGCATTTCTCTAAAACTGGGAGCAGCTGGTTCCTACTCACGCCATTTCCCAGACCACCATTGGCCACAACCAGGCTCTTAAAAGACAAAAAAGAAAGAAAGAAACATGAGTAACTGAATCAACATGTTTATTTTAAAATAACATTCAATAGGGACCAGCAGATGGTGTAATGGTTATGTCTGGACTCCCACGTAGTTGACCACAGTTTGAGTCACAGCGAGTGCGTGTGGGCCTAAAATCCCGAGAGGAGAATGCAAGAGAAGAGATTGTGGCATGACCATCAACTGGGGTGCGGGGTGGCTACTCTCTGCCTCTGTCTTTCCAGCGAGTACACTCACCCTATAGCCAAAATCTCTATTGAAAATAAATAAATAAATAAGATGAAATAAAAGTTCCACAAGGATTTAAGTAAGAAAGAAAAACAGATTTTCTAGCAGTGGTTATCTGGTTTGTTAATTTCATATAAAGCATATAAACTGATTTACTTAATATTTGGGGAACACAAAGTACTCCTAGGTTATAAATGATTTTTATTTTTAAAATAACCTATTTCAGTAAAATTACTTTTTTATGAGCATAAATGCAAAATAGAAGATAACTCTTTCTTGCTCAGAAAAATAAATTTAACCTAATAAAAAGGAACTAGGAGAAAACAGAGAGTTCCATAATACCTGCTTTTTTGCCAAAGACTGTTCTATATACTTTCGTCTACTCAATCCTAATCAACATAATCTTTGCAAGCAAAGTCAATTTATTTGGGTAATATTAGCCTGACTTTATAGAAGAAACTACAGATCAGAAAGATTAGGTGAAAGCGGTGACTGGGGGACTAGGTTTCAAACCTATTTCTGTCAGTTTCCAGAATCCATACTTTTTAAAAAACCATAGCACAATGTTTACTAAAAACTAAAAGAAAAATCGATTACAAGTTCTATTGAACATAACATAGGGTAACAGTCCTCTGTCTAAAGAAATTCAGTCAGTTCGCAATTAAAATATCTTCTTTGCTAAGTTTCAGGCTTCTTGTCATCTGCAGTCGTGCACTAACCTTTATTCAAGGCATTTCAGAGGGTGTAGAGGGGAGGAATATCCTATTTCTATTCTGATGTTTATGGCCTAGTGCCCACATAGTCTTTGACGTGGTGTTAAAGGTGATGGGCTCCCACATAGCCAACTGCAGTTGGAGTTTCAGGCCCAACATGTTGAAAATCAGGCTGGGCATTTGCGTGTGTGTCCAAAATCCCGAGAGGAGTGGAGGAGAAGGAATTGTAGTATGGCTATCCTCCCGGGGGGATGATTTCTTTCTCTTTCTCTCTCCAGGAAACATAGGCACCCTATGGCAAAAAATCTTTTAAAAAAAATCAAAAAAAGAAAACATTCTACATAGCGTTAAGATCTTTAATTTATCCTTTATGACTTTTAAAAACATTGTAATAGGCTAGCAGGTGGCATTGTGGTTGAGTTGCTGGACTCCCATATGGCTGACTGCTGTTCCAGTCCTGGTCTTGGCAGTTTGCTTTCCTTCTCTTTCTTTCTCTCTCTCTGGAGAACACATGCCCTACAGCAAATTAAAAAAAATAATAATATAATTAAATAATTCTTATTTTTTTTAAGAGAGATTTTTACTATAGGATGTGTTCACTTATTTGAGAGACAGAAAGTGAGAAACACCCACCCATCCTCAATACCCCCCCTGCCGGAGGGATGGCCACACCACAATCTTTCCTCCTCCACTCTTCTCTTGGGATCTTGGGCATGTACGCACACGCACCCAGTGTGAGTGTTAAGTCACCAGATCCAGGACTCATCCATGGTCGACTACATGGGAGTCCAGCAACGTAACCATTACACCATCTACAGGTTCCAATAAGTACTTTTTTAAAAATAAAGGCACCGTAGTATAACAAAAGTAAACCTTGGATGATCTACTATTAACAGTTTCATTCATCAGGTGTTGAAGTTTTTTTGAAAAAGAGCAAGACAGTAAACTGTTTAGACTTTGCAGGCCTTTTAAGTTTCTGTCACATAGTCTCTATTTTTTAACAACGCTTTAAAAAGCAAAACTCAGTCCTCCCTCTGTAGTGCAATACGTGTCATGCACATGTGGACATGCAGGATCCTGACAAGGTGGAGGGCTGGGAGAGGCAGATTGTGGTGTGGTAAGACCCTATAAAGGGTGATTCTCTCTTCCTCATCCTCTCTTCCATTCCTCTTTCACATGTGCACATATCCTCTGGCATTAGAAAAAAAAAATTCCTTATGTCAAGTAATATTTTAATGTATAGTAAGTATTTTAATGTTAGTAAGTATTTTTACTTCTAGTTAAGTCACATATGTATAATCTTTAGAATCTAACAATCCAGTGGGGTGAAACAATATGTAATTCTATGCTCTGCTCACAAATGAAGAAAGCCAAGATCAAAGAGCACTGCTCATATTTAAATAAGTGGAAAAGCCAAGAGTTAAATTGACTTCTAATTCAAAGCTCAAGTAATCTCACAGTCGTGGGAACAGCAGATGGCATAGTGGTTACATTGTTGGACTCCCACATGGCTGACCACAGTTAAAGCCCTGGACCTGGTGGCTTGAGACTCGTGCTAGGCACGCATGCATGTGTGCCCAAGATCTCGGGAAGAGAATGGAGGAGAAAGGACTGCAGTGTGGCCATCTGCCTTGGAGCGTAATTTTTTGCTTTCCCTCTCACTGTCTGTCTGTCTGTCTGTCTGTGTCTCTCCCTCTCTCTCTCTCTCCCCTCACATGATCTAAGGTTAAAAACCTCTTAAAAAAAAAAAAAAGAAAGAAAAAGAAAAGAAAAGAAATCCCACAGTCCAGTGTCAACATCATCTCAATTACTGCCGTCAGATAATGAGAAGGCTTTGTAAATAAGAGGTCTAATAACAGCAAAATATTTTCAAGTATATAACCAAAATATACTGTGAATTCAAAAATAGGAAAAAGAAGACTATTAGGATACAGATCTAAATTTAAGATTCTATTCAGCTATCTACTAGTTTATATCAATGGACATACCATGGTCTCTCAAAACTTGAGTTCATTCACCTATCTCTTGATTTTTAAGGAATATATTAATATAAATATGCTCTATAAACTGAACAGCCTTAAACAGTGTTATTATGTGTACCACAACTTCCTCTTAACAACTTCTAATTCAACCGACACAATCGATGGAAATTCAAACTATAGGGTAAGCTCTGGCCTAAAATAGAAAGCTAGCAGATCCTATCCCAAGTACATGCAATATGGTTGTAACACATGACTGAACAATTACAGCCTTAAACAATTATTAACAAATATTAATACAATGCATTAGCATGTCGATACAGATACATTCCAATGATAGTAAGTTTTAGGTCACCTGAGTAGCATGGGATACTGTGTCAACGCCTTCGTGTCTCAGCAAAGTATGCCTGGCTTTTATCTGTTTCCTTAAGAACTTCTTCTCAGTTTTACTGAGTTTGCAATTACTCTGGTGATTACTGTCCATGTTAACACTGAAGGAAAAAAAGTAAAAAGGTCAACCTGAAGAGCCCTAAAAGAACGATTATAATGATGCTATTCACATATTCTATACTTTGTTTTAAAAAAAATTGTTTTTTTTTTTAAATCCTTAGTTTACTTTTCACCAACTTCAGAGAATTGAGAACAGACACTGAAAATAAAGGAATATGTAAGACGGTAATAAAGAACCTCTAATACTATCTCTTTTAAGGGTGATAAAAAAATGTTCCATTTTAGCTCCATTAAGTGCACTACTTCCCCCTCGGATGATGTATCCCTTTAGGGAAAACGTGCTATCAGCAAATTTCACCATTACAGGCAAGGAAAAGGAGTAAGAAGTGAAGGGGAGGTCCACAGAGCATATGGTATAATGCCACTTACAGAAAGTTCAAAATCCAAAAGCAAGCTCTGCATTGTTTAGAAATGCATCTCTACCAAAGCTGGAAGAAAAGCATATGAACGGTAAACACAAAACTCAGGAGAGAGACGGAAGTAAAATTCATGTGAAAGTGAAACATGGATGCAATGCAGCCAAGGTATTTCTTAAACTAGATGGTAGGTACATGTGTTTTTTAAATTAATTTTTAAAGAAATACTTATTTCATTTTATTTATTTTTTAATTTGCTATAGGGCCCATGCACTCACCAGGGAGAGACAAAAAGAGAGAGAGAGAAAGATGTAAAGTGAGGAAGCCAGCCACCAGGTCCAGGACTCAAACCACGGTTGACTGTGTGGTAGTCCAGCATCTTAACCACATCATCCACTGGCCCCTGTTTAATTATTTAAATATGTATTTTAACATGTAACTATAGATGTTATATAATTTATATCTATCTTTTTTTAAAAATTATTTAATTTTACTATTATTTTTTAATTTGCTATCAGGCACGTGCACTCTCTAGAGAGGGAGGTAGAAGGGTGAGCAGTGAGAAAGCAAGTCACCAGGTCTGGGACTCAAACCATGGTCAGCCATGTGAGAGTCCAGTACATTAGCCACCATGCCACTTGCTGGTCCTCTTTTTTTTTTTTTTTTTTTAAGAGATTTAAAAAAAAAAAAAAAAGAAAGTT